GTGCGTGCGTGCGTGAGTGTGGGCGGGTATGTGGGCGTGTATGCGTGCGCGTGCGTGCGTGCGTGCGTGAGTGTGGGCGGGTATGTGGGCATGTGTGCGTGGGCGTGCGTGCGTGCGTGAGTGTGGGCGGGTATGTGGGCATGTGTGCGTGGGCGTGCGTGCGTGCGTGAGTGTGGGCGGGTATGTGGGCGTGTATGCGTGTGCGTGCGTGCGTGTGTGTGTGGGCGGGTATGTGGCGTGTGTGTGGGCATGCGTGGCGTGGGCGTGCGTGCGTGCGCGTGTGTAGGTTTGCGCGTGCGCGGCAGTGTGAGCATGTGGCTGCGAGGGGGAGGGTCGCCACCGCGGGCCAGCCCCTCCGAGTCCCTCCCCAGTGAGGGCCCACAGGGCCGTGCTGGGTGCTGACCGCCTCTGCCCACAGGCAGCAAGAAGAAGATCCGCCTGTACCAGTTCCTGCTGGACCTGCTGCGCAGCGGCGACATGAAGGACAGCATCTGGTGGGTGGACAAGGACAAGGGCACCTTCCAGTTCTCGTCCAAGCACAAGGAGGCGCTGGCCCACCGCTGGGGCATCCAGAAAGGCAACCGCAAGAAGATGACCTACCAGAAGATGGCCCGCGCGCTGCGCAACTACGGCAAGACGGGCGAGGTCAAGAAGGTGAAGAAGAAGCTCACCTACCAGTTCAGCGGCGAAGTGCTGGGCCGCGGGGGCCTGGCCGAGCGGCGCCACCCGCCCCACTGAGCCCCGCCTGCGCCCCGGCCGCCAGGCCTCCCCACCGGCCATAGCATTAACCCTTTGCCCAGCCGGACACCGGGGGGCGCTCCGGGGTAGGGGCCGGACTGCGGCGGCCAGGCCTCGCCTCACCCGCCGGCCCCCGCCGCCGCCACGGGCCGCCTCGCCCCCTGCTTCAGCTCCCACCAGGACTCCACCCGGCTCTTCCCCAGAGCCAGCCTGACTTAGTCCCACCAGGGGTGAACCCCGGGGAGGTGGCAGACGTGGTATGTGTGTAAATGGGGCGTCTGCTTCCTCCTCCCCACCTTCCTCAAGGAGCCCCGGTATTAAAATTATTCTCAGTGAGTCCTGCCACAGCCTCAGCATTCGTTGTGCACCTTCTCTGGGGCTGGTGCAGCCTCTTTGTCTCATGTTCCCCATCGGCCTCACCCGCCATGATGGGGGACCCTGGCCCATGCCGGACGCCAGCACCCGAGGAGAAATGACAGTCCTGGCCTGGGGTTAGAGCGGGGACAGGCATCCCCAGCAGTCTTAGAAGAATGACAATAAAAGCTCACCACACCCCAACAAATGCACGTTCTTTTAAAAGCCTCTATGAGGTTTCAACATGTTCTCTTCCGTTCGGATGGAGGCCATGATAATGGAAGTGACCCTGAGTTTTCTGGCCATTTATTGCATGTCAATGCACTTTGCTTGATGGGGAAACTGAGGCTCTGGGAGGTCAAAGTATGTGTCCATGCTCACACAGCTGGCGAGGGCAGGTGGTCCCACTCTATGTGGGGTGACATGTCTGAATGGGGTGCCACTCAACGTGGCAAGGAGCAGGAATGCAGCCCCAGACCTCACATGGACACAGAGTTCCTCACAGAATGCAAGCTGCAGGACCCCAGACAAGGGGAACCCCCAGAGGGTAGCCAGACTCCTAACTCAGAGTGGCACAGAAACAGGCGGGCCAGAAGCCCGTGAGCAGCCTGCTTCCGAGGGAGCAAGGGCAGGCGGCAGGCAGCCTGCAGGCCTCGGAGGGCCCAGGCCTGGGCCTTTAGGGTAGGGCCAGCACCCCACCTCCCACATGCTCTCCTTGCCTACAGGGGTGCCTGCAGGCCAACCACCAGGCTCCTCCCCACTGGGCTCTGAACCCCGAAAGTAGGGGACAAGCACGCATCCCCTGCTGTGGCTCTTGCTTGAACCACAACAGTCACATGTAATTCACCTGTTTTTGTGAAGCAGCCTTGTGATGCGTGTGTGTGTAAGGAAGGGGGCCGTCACGGGGGCAGACGGTCACCGAGGAATGGTGGTCACACGAGGGGAGTCAGGCCACTCCACAGGGGGTTAGCGTGACTCAGCAGGAGCAACTCTGCCTCTGGCTTGCACTTCGGCACACAGGGAAAATGTACCCTATGCCCTCATGGGCGGGCCCACCCAGCCCTTTCTCCTGGGTGACACCTGCCCCCAGGATTGCTCCCTCCTCGCCAGGCCCCGGACTAAGCCCCCCAGGATCCCACAGTATGAGGCCAGCTGCGCAGCTGGGGCCCCGCAAGCCTGGCACGGCCTTGAGCAGTTCTCAAACCCCTTTACTCGCGGAACAGTCCCGTGAAGAGGGCGCCACTCGCACTAACCCCACTCTGCAGGGGAGGAAAGAAGGCCCAGGGAGGGTAGGCAGTGTGGGTGCCAGGACTCAGGTCTGTGCACCTAAGCACCACCCACACTGCCCAGCAGGGCGCCCTGGGGCCATCGGCCGCACCCCGCAGTGAGGACAGTGTACACTTGCCCGTCAGACAGACACACAGACAGGACTGGGAGGGTCCCTGAGTCCCCCAAGGATTGGGGACACCATATTGGGCTGAGAGGTGGGAAAGGGCAGAGCCAGCCAGGAGCAGGGGAGCCCCACCTTCTCCCTGGAGGGCCACTCTGTGGAATTTGTCTATATTTAGCAGTGGCTGGACAGGAGGCAGATAAGGCGAGCGGGCGAGGGGGAGGGCCCTTATATAGTGCGGACGGCCCCGGCACAGATATTCTTTGGGTGGTCTGTGCCTGCTTGGTTCCTGGAGTGACCTCTCCAAGATGCCTGAGCCGGGGAAGAAGCCAGGTAGCTCCAGGTTTGGGGTTGGGCTGAGTGTGGGTCCAGGGAGGGTGGGGGGACATGTCCAGCCAGGGGGCAAGCCTAGGAATACCTGAAGGGTCACGAGGACAAGGCTTCTGAGCCCCAGGGCAGGGGCCTGTCCTCCTGGGCTTTGGACTCTGTTTCCCCTTCTCATTCGTGGGGTGGGAGTGAGGATGACTGGGGCCAGACACTCAGAGAGGGGAGACAGCCCCGCTGGGAAACCTCCAGGAGAGTGACCCCATTTGGCCCCCACCCCCATCCCCGGCCTGGGTGTGTCTTTGGGGAAAGGCTGCTCCGGGCTGAGTCTGCTCCAGCGCTCACTGAACGCTCCAGGACAAGTCCACCCCTCTCTGTGTCTCGGTTTCCTCATCTGGACAAGGAGAGTTTGGGTTGTTTCTTTCCAGCTGTGGGAGTCCCTGCTTTATGCACCTGGACCCCGCTGGCCCCACAGGTAGCACAAATCTGGCAGGGAGGGCAGTGGGCCTCCCCCAGTGTTCTGGGAGAGAACGGCCAAGAGGCTCTAGGTCAAGGACAGAGGGTCCCGGCCCCAGCCTGCACCCTCGCCAGCTCTGTCCAGGGCAGGAACCCAGCCCCCCACCCAGCCCGGCCAGGTCAGCTTTATCTCGTGCTGATTCTCAGCCAGAGCCCTGTGGAAGACAAATTTAGCCACATCCAAGCAGGTCCCTTGCCAAGGGCCCCAGATAGTGGGCAGAAGGGGGAGCTGGGCTTCCCTAGGCAGGGAGGTGGGTAATCCAAGAACACACGGAGCAGAAGTCTTGCGTGGAGGTTAGGGGGCCCGGCACTGGCTCCCCCTCCTGGCTGTGTGGTCCTGAGCAAGTGCCTTAACGTCTCTGAGCCTCGGCCTCCACCACTGAGAAAAGGCATGACTAGGCCTACCTCACGGGCCCCGGGGGGAAACGAGGTGATGAGTCCCAATGCTTATCACCATAGTTAGCAAGGGGGCTGCAGGGGAGGGGTGTGGGTGCAGCTGGGGCCGCTTGCCAGCCTGCATCGGCCTCTCAGTATCAGCCTTCAGCAAGAAGCCACGGTCAGCGGAGGTGGCCGCCGGCAGCTCTGCCGTGTTCGAGGCCACGACGGAGCGGCCGGGGGTGCAGGTGCGCTGGCAGCGGGCTGGCGGCGACATCAGCGCCAGCGACAAGTACGGGCTGGCAGCCCAGGGCGCTCGGCACACGCTGACGGTGCGGGACGTGGGCCCCGCCGACCAGGGGTCCTATGCGGTCATCGCCGGCTCCTCCAAGGTCAAGTTTGACCTGAAGGTCACAGAGGCAGGTAGGGCGCTGCTCAGCCTCCTCTGAGTCTCGGGGGGTGGGGAGCCCCAGCACTTCTCCTCTCCTCAGGTCACAGGAGGTGCTTTGTCCCCCTCCTGTCCTGGCTTGGGCTGTGCCCTCTGCCAAGGTGCCCTCTCCCTTTCTCAGCTGCAAACCTTGTCTGGGTGCCCCCTGCGCTGCCTGGCCTGTTCCGCCATTACAGAGGTGGGGAAATTCAGACATGAGCCAGGCCTAGCCCTGCCCGCCCCACGGACACCCCCACACAGCTGACAGCCGGGCAGGCTGTGTGCTGGAGGATGCCGGGGAGCCGTGGGCTGGAGGCGGCCAGCCCAGTCTGGGGCCCGTCTGATGCCACCGCAGGAGGGGCAGCTGTGTAGGCAGAGCCTGGAGACAGAGGGCCAGTGAGGGGGAGCAGGATGGGAGAGGCACCGAGGGACGGGGGAGCGGGAAGAGGAGGAGCCTTGGACATCTTTATCCACACCTGTTGCTTCATAGAACTGGGCTCTGGGAAGTGAAGCTCGGGAGAGAGGAGGCTGAGGAAAGAGGGGGTGCACAAGCTCACAGAGGTGATGGGTAAAACTCAGGGAGAAGAGGAGCCTTTGGGGGAGCGGGGAGAAGGGTCAGATGAAGCTGGGAAGCCCCTGCAGTAGCTAATGAGCCTGCAAAGACTGAGGCGGGCCCCAGGGACAGGAGCTCCGCTCTCTGGTTAGCTGTGCCGTGACCCCCCACCCTCACCCCTCCAGAGAAGGAAAAGCCTGCACCAGGCCCCCCTCCTGCTCCTGCTCAGGCTCCCGGAGCCCCCACAGAAGCCCAGGCCCCCACCACAGAACAGGAAGGAGGCCCTGCAAGCTGTGAAGGTGAGAAGTACGGAGGGCATGGCCACTGCTTGGGAGGGGGTTGCCCCAGGGCGGGTCTCCAAGGCTTCTCTCACAGGGCCAAGTTCAGCAGCCCCCGATGGTGCCCCGAATGGCCTTACTGTCCCCGATGGCGCTGGTGCCTCCGATGACCCCATTGGCCTCTTTCTGATGCGGCCACAGGATGGCGAGGTGACCGTGGGTGAGTGCGGGGCTGCAGCTCCGGGGGGAATGGACAGGGAGGCGGCAGGGCGCCCACCAAGCCCGCCCACCGCCCCTCTCCTGCAGGAGGCAGCATCACCTTCTCGGCGCGTGTGGGGGGGGCCAGCCTCCTGAAGCCGCCCCTGGTCAAGTGGTTCAAGGGCAAGTGGGTGGACCTGAGCAGCAAGGTGGGCCAGCACCTGCAGCTTCATGACAGCTACGACAGGGCCAGCAAGGTGGGCCACAGGGCACGGGGCCTGGCCCCAGGGGCGGGGCGCCGCTGCTGGGAGGCCTGGGGTAGCCGGGGAGGCCTGGGGCGCACCCTGAGATAGGAGGTGCAGAGTGCCGTGGAGAGTCTGGGAAGCAGGCTTGGGAGCGCAGACAGCTGGAGAGGCTCGGGGGACCTGTGGTGCACGGGGCTAAGCGGGCGTGGCAGTCTCAAGGCCCCCCTAATAAGGCTAGTGGGGTCCGGGGAGCTCAGCAAGGCTGGGGGAACGTCATGAAGCGTGGCAGATACCAGCCAGCGGGCTGTGAGGCCCCTGGGTGGGTGGTGTTGGAGATCAAGGGCCGTCAGTGACCACCCGGAACAAACCTTCAATCTACAGACAAGTAACCCAAACTCCAGGGGTTGTCTGTGACCCAAGACCCCTCCCTCTCCTCTTCCCACTCTACCACGGTGCTGGGCCAGGCAAGGGGCCTCTGGGAAGGCAGGGCTGCCATGCCCAGATGTGTGGGCTGGGCACCGCACGAATGCACCTCGTCTGAAGTGGGTACCGTTTGCCCTGTAGCTATCACAGGCATGAGGTATCACCACCCCGTGCCCACAGCCGGCAGTCGTGGGTCTTGAGAATAAGTCTTTATTTATTTACGCAAACTGGAAGGGTCAAAACATCCTGAGGAGTGAGGTTGGTGGCCACGAGGTCCCCAGTTTCCTTCAGAGGTGAAGGCCTCACCCCTGACCCCCCGGTCCTGGGGACATCTCACCCCCACAGGTCTATCTCTTTGAGCTGCACATCACAGATGCCCAGGTCACTTCCGCTGGCGGCTACCGCTGTGAGGTGACCACCAAGGACAAATTTGATAGCTGCAACTTCAACCTCACTGTCCACGGTGAGGGGGGCCCTGGCGGGGATCACCCTGGGCCCTGCTCCATGAGCATGACTCCATTTCCCATCTCTGGGGAGGACGTCTAGTCCCGGCTGGACAGCTGGTGACCACAGACCCAACGCTGCCCATGCAGAGGCATAAAAGAAATTCAGGGAGCCTTCCAGGGTTGGGGTGGGAGTCCTCTGGCCAGTCCAGATCTTATCTGGGGTCTTAGTCAGCTTGTGGCCCAGCTCCTGGCCCAGGTGAACAGGTGAAGGGGGAGTTGAGCGATCAAACACCTCCACACCTCTGGTACCTGGGTTTGGAGGAAAGCTCAGGTTATGGGGTCCTGGAGCAGATGTCCACTCTCAAGGGGTCACTGAGTGGGCAGGTCTGTGACCTTGAAAAATGCAGGGTAGGGCTTCTGGGACAGCCCCTCTGAAGCTTCCTCTCCTAAATCATCCCCCTCTTTGAACCCAGAGGCCATTGGCCCTGGAGATCTGGACCTGAGATCCGCTTTCCGCCGCACGTGAGTGACTGTCTCTCCCCAGGGCACGGTGGGGGTCAGGGCTGGGGGCTGATGCCCCTTGGGAGCAGGGCTAGGAGTGATATTGGGGGTCAGGACCATGGCCACGTAAGGCTCAGGGCTGAGGGTGATGTGTGGGGGTTAAGGCTGGGGGGGGGGGCCGAACGGGGCCAGGGCTGGGATGATACAGGTGATCTGTGGGGGTAGGCTGGGGTGGGGGAGAGCAAGCACCCCTGAACAGATAAGGAACTGAGTCTCACTCCACAGGAGCCTGACTGGAGGCAGTCGGCGAACCAGGTACCCCATACTCAGACCCGGGGGGTCAAGAGGGGCAGCCCGTCCGGCCTCTTGATCTATGCCCCCACCCCCAGCCCCACCCTGGCCTTTTCTGTGAGTTTCCACGGCAGCCTCGCTGAGGGTCTCTCTCCACAGTGACAGCCATGAGGACGCTGGCACCCTGGACTTCAGCTCGCTGCTCAAGAAGAGGTGAGCCCCAAGCAGCCAGTGGTGAGCCCCGTCCTGGCACGGTGGCTTCCAGCACCGGTGACCCGCCGGGCCTCTCTGGGCTGGTTTCCTTGTCCCTTGTCCAACGGAACATCTTGGTGCCGGGAAGTCAGGGCAGCTGTGAGCCAGCCTCACAGCATCCTGTGGCCACACCACACTCCAGTCTGGGGTAGCACATTCAATAGGCTTGGGGGACCGGAAGATGCGGGACGGGGCTCCACGCCACAGGAGTTGCCCCCCCACCCCGCTGCCCCTCTGACTTGCATCTTCTCGGGCCTCTCCCCTGTCTCCGGAACTTCCCATCATGGCCGACGCGCTGCTGGCACAGAGAGTAAGCGCTGGTGGGCGCTCTGGGGCCACAGGTCACGGGGGGGCGGGGGGGGGGGAATGCGCACCCATGTCTGCCTAGGCTCAGGGAGAGACAGGGCTGGGAATCAGGTCCCCACTGACTGGGCGGGGGGTCTCGGGGCCCGGGGGTCTCCTGATAGCCACCTGCTGGAGTCTGGGGGAATAAACAAGGCTGCGTGTGCAGCGGTCTCTGAGAGGCACTGTAGACGGAGGGGTGTGAGTGCGGGGGGGAGGGAGGGCACCCCTGATGTGTCCACTGCCTTTCTGTCTACCATGAGCAGCAGTTTCCGGATCCCGCGGTGAGTGCCCGAGGAAGTCCAGCATCTGTCACCCCGACTTCCAGAGCTGGGAACCCTCCCTAGCTCCAGACCCCCATCCTGAGCCTCAAGGCCCTGTAACCCCAGAACCCGCCCTACAGGCTGGCTGAGGGGGCCAGCTCCCAGCGGGAAGGGACCCCCGCAGCTCCTGTTCTTTCCAGGGGGGGAGGGGAGGGGAGGCGGCGGGACAGGGGGGCTGCGTGGGGCGCCCCGGGGGGGAGGGGAGGGGAGGCGGCGGGACAGGGGGGCTGCGTGGGGCGCCCCTTGAGGCCACTCCACACGTCGGGTGCGGCACGCAGGGACGGGAAGCTGGAAGCCCCGGCCGAGGAGGACGTGTGGGAGATCCTGCGGCAGGCGCCTCCCTCGGAGTACGAGCGCATAGCCTTCCAGCACGGGGTCACCGACCTCCGCGGCATGCTCAAGAGGCTCAAGGGCATGAAGCAGGACGAGAAGAAGAGCACAGGTAACCCCCCCAGGGGACAGCGAGAAGGTCAGCCACCCCGCACACCCCAAAAGGAGGAGCGTGCAGCTGAGCCCCAGGTGCCCAGGAGAGAACTCAGGGGAACCCCCGTCTCATGGGGGGAAACAGGCTAGCCCCTCTGCACAGAGAGAAGGCCGAGGCTAGTCCGGAGAGAGCCACCAGGGAAGGACCCGCACGGGTTAACCCGCCTCACCAGTAACATGCGGGCGACCCCTCTTTCCCTGTTCGCGTGGGGTGCTCCCTCGCCCCCAGGCAGGCCAGGGGAGCGGACTCAGACTACCCTTCTCCAGGGAGGCTTGACAGAGCCTCTGGAGAGTGAGCCCGCCAAGCGGGGGTGCACCCCAGCACACAAAAACCTGAGGTGCTGTTAAAAGAGGAGGCCTTTTATCCCATCATCTCTCTGGCGGAATCCTGTCCTTCTGGAAGCCCGGAGCCCCAGCCTTGATCTGAGCGGGTGGAGAGGCCCCCAGGGCAGAGAGGAGGACTGAGAAACAAGGCGGTCACTACACAGAGAACAGAGATGAAGAAGCAGTCATGGGGGGGCAGGAGGGCGGACCCCAGGGCCAGCCCCCGGAGGGGTGTGGGTGCTGGGGCTGAGGGTAGTGCTCAGCCTTCCAGAAGAAGCTGGAGCCAGCCTACCAGGTGAGCAAGGGCCAGAAGATCCGGCTGACCGTGGAGGTGGCCGACCCCGACGCCGAGGTCAAGTGGCTGAAGAATGGACAGGAGATCCAGATGAGCGGCAGGTGGGCCGGGCGGGGCCTGCGAGTGGGGGTTTCCTCAGGCAGGGGCTCGCTCCCGGCCTGCTCCCCCATCTCTCCCTCCACGCTGTTCTCCGTCTCTGCCTGCCTGGTTCTTGTCCCTACCTCCGTCTCCAACTTCTTTTTTTCTGGACCTAACTTCTCCTCTTTCTGTTTTTGCTCCGTTCCTGGTTGGTTTGGCTTCATCCCGCCGGGGCCGCTGAATGACCCCTATCCCACAGCAAGTAAGGCCCCGCTCCGGGAAGGCTTGGGTGGGGGTGCAGGGCTCCCGTGGGGGTGTGTGCTGGGGCTCCAGAGCACCGGCTGAGTGCACGCCCCGTGCAGGTACATCTTTGAGTCGGTCGGCAACAAGCGCACCCTGACCATCAGCCAGTGCTCGCTGGCGGACGACGCGGCCTACCAGTGTGTGGTGGGGGGCGAGAAGTGCAGCACCGAGCTGTTTGTCAAAGGTGGGCCTGACACCCCTGGACTGTGGGGGGGCAACAGAGGGCAGGGCCATCATGCAGTCCTGCCCGGACAGAGCCCCCGGTGCTGATCACACGGCCGCTGGAGGACCAGCTGGTGATGGTGGGACAGCGTGTGGAGTTCGAGTGTGAGGTGTCTGAAGAGGGGGCGCAGGTGAAATGGTGAGTCTGGGACTGTCGGGGCACGGGGCAGGGTGGGGGGCCGGGAACGCCCCCGGAGGAGGAGGAGGCCATGGCCTTGCTGTTCACCCCCCCAACCCCCCCAGGCTCAAGGATGGGGTGGAGCTGACCCGGGAGGAGACCTTCAAATACCGGTTCAAGAAGGACGGCCAGAAGCACCACCTGATCATCAACGAGGCCACGCTGGAGGACGCCGGCCACTATGCGCTGCGCACCAGTGGGGGCCAGGCGCTGGCCGAGCTCATTGTGCAGGGTGAGGCCGCCTCGGCCCGGCCTCCAGGAGGCAGGCCCATGGGGCCTCGAGAAAGTCACTGTCACCCCAGGCCTCCCCTTGGTCACCTGAGAAAGGGGGGGTACTGGGTGGCCAGCCAGAGATTGTGGGTGAGCGGTCAGCTGGGCCTGGTCAGTGTTGCCGGCCCCCACACTTGAGGTCCCTGGTCTGCACAGCACCATCTGGTGTGCAGGCAAGATCTACTCTATGTGCACACGAGCGTTTCCACATACCCGTGTGACCTCCACAAGGACCACACACACACACACACACACACACACACACACAGCTCACTGGCTCTGCCCGACCCCCAGAGAAGAAGCTGGAGGTGTACCAGAGCATCGCGGACCTGACGGTGGGCGCGAAGGACCAGGCGGTGTTCAAGTGTGAGGTGTCGGATGAGAACGTGCGTGGCGTGTGGCTGAAGAACGGGAAGGAGCTGGTACCCGACAGTCGCATAAAAGTGACCCACATTGGGCGGTGAGTGTGGGGCTGGGACAGGCAGAGACCGACAGACCGAGACACACAGAGAGCTATAGAGACAGACACACACACGGACAAGACGGATCAAAACAGAGAAAAAATGAAGTAAAAGGACACGTGGACAGAAAGACAAGGAGAGACGGGCGAGAGGGAGGAGGAGCGTCCACCAGAGATAGAAAGAAAAGAGAGGTGCAGCGGCAAAGAGCCCCCAGGCCCCTCCCCCAAACTGTGACCGGGCAGGAGGCCAGGGGTGGTCAGCTCCCGCCGGGCCCTCCCTCTCTCCCACTCTCTTCCACGTGCTTGAGCACCTGGGCCGGCCGTGCTGGCCCCAGGGTCATGGGGATTAAGGCCCTGTCCCTGCCCAGTCTCCGAGGGCCCAGCCCAGAGACACCCACACTGCCTATCCCCTGCAGACACCCTAACGAGCTGGAGAATCCAAAAATAGGGAAAGAATTCAAAACAGCAGCACACAATGGGCTCCGATGGAGTGAGGGCCCCCTGGGGCCCCTGTGAGGTGTCCCGTGAGGCAAGGGGTGCCGGGCGGGGGGCCCTGAGCCACTGCCTCCCGCAGGGTCCACAAGCTGACCATCGACGATGTCACGCCTGCAGACGAGGCCGACTACAGCTTCGTGCCTGAGGGCTTCGCCTGCAACCTGTCTGCGAAGCTCCACTTCATGGGTGAGCTGGCACCCCGCTCCGCTGTGGGGTCCCCCGCCACGGGGCCCTGCCTCGCCCGGCCCACTTGCTTTTCCTTCTCTTGCAGAGGTCAAGATCGACTTTGTGCCCAGGCAGGGTGAGTCTCGGGACCCCAGTGCTGCCTCCCAGCACCCTGGCCTGTCCTCTGTCCCCTCCACTCGCAGGTGGAGGGAAGAGCAGGCTCCAGAGTGGGCCCCTGGGCTGCCCAGCTGCCAGCCGCGATGGGGGTCCCCACCACCTCTGGCTCTCAGTTTCCTCACCCCCACTGTGGGTTCCCGAGGGAGAGAGGCTGCTGCAGGTGGTGTCAGATGCGAGGCTGTTGTTGTTCCTGCGTTTGGGCACCTAGAAGTAGCTGTCCCGTTTTTACATGGAACTTTAATTGGGTATTTTGGAGTCTTAACTTCAGACAAATCATCCATGCTCTGGGTCAGTGCTTTCCAAACGGAGTCCCCCTAATCTGATACTGCATGTAAAGGGGGTTCCATGGTGATTAAGTTCAAACAGTCATTCCCCTGTGACCTGTGTCCCCTCCCCCAGAACCGCCCAAGATCCACCTGGACTGCCCAGGCCGCACGCCCGATACTATTGTGGTCGTGGCTGGGAACAAGCTACGCCTCGACGTCCCCATCTCCGGGGACCCCGCGCCCACGGTCATCTGGCAGAAGGTCATCACACAGGTGTGCGGCCCTGGGGAGCCCTCCGTGCCCCCGCCTGTCACGTGGGTGCGCGGGACCCGCAGGCTGGGGCCTGCGCCCCCCTACGTCCACGTGACCCGCGTGGGAACCTGGCTGGCCAGGGGCTGGCAGAGGGGAAACAGGGGGGCCTGGCCCAAACCCTCCAGGCTAAGCCAGCCCCTCCCCCGCCCTCCCCTCCTGCTCTGTTCCCAGGGGAAGTCTGGGCCAGCCTCCGATGCCCCAGGGGATGCGGGCGCCAGTGACGAGTGGGTGTTTGACAAGAAGGTAAGTGTGGCTGAAGCAGGACGCTGCTCCTTCGCCCTCCGACATCTCTGGCCTTGCCCGCGAGGTGTCCCCCTTGGGTGCCACATCTGGCCAGCCATACGCCTGCCCCGGAAGGGCCTCTGTGGGCCTCCACACCTCGGGCAAGTCTGTGTTCATACCCCGACAAGGCCAGGGGCTGAGCTGCCTAGGTCTGCGCTTGCTCCCTGTAGGGAGCCGGCTCTCCTGGCTCTTCAGTGAGGGGAGCTTCCCCCCACCACCCCAGTCGCTTGGGTCTTTCCTCCTCTGGGCACTCTTGGTCCCTCTACCTTGTGGAGCCCCACAATATTTTTGTTGTATCATCCCCATTGGACGGCTGAGGAAACCAAGGCACAGAGCTAGGAGATTGCCTAAGTTCGAGACCAAGCTACACAATAGCCAGGCCCTTCCCTCCTGCTTTGCCTCTGGCAGGCACTAAATAAACGCTTTAGCATAAGGTGCACACAGAGGCTCAGTTGCGCCTGGGCTGGTCTCTGAGCTCCGTTTCCATCTTGGCCTATTGGCTGTTAGAGTCTGTCGAAGCCTCTGGGGTCCAGCACAGACTCACCCTGTCCCCCTAACTCCCACTCCTGACCCCAGGTGCTTTGTGAGACTGAGGGCCGAGTCCGGGTAGAGACCACCAAGGATCGAAGCATCTTCACCGTCGAGGGCGCAGAGAAGGAAGATGAGGGTGTCTACATGGTCACAGTAAAGAACCCCGTGGGAGAGGATCAGGTCAACCTCACGGTCAAGGTCATCGGTGAGGCCAGCTACCCAGCGTTGAGGCCAGGAAGACGGAGGCAGCCAGGGAGGCTCCATCCGTCACTCATTTAGTCACTCAACAAACACGGTGGTCCTGGGGCTAGGATATGTGTGAATTTGTGCGGGGGGGAATCATCGAGTGGATCTCAGGCTGGAGATGTGTTCAGCGCCGCATTCTGGCGGATCGCTTGGGCTCAGGGTGGTGTGGGCAGCTGTTGCTGTTATTTGGGGGTGGTGAGAGGACAAGCAGTTTTGGCCCGGGCCCAGAGAAGGCTGATGTGGGTCCACTCCACAGATGTACCGGATGCCCCTGCGGCCCCGAAGATCAGCAGCGTGGGCGAGGATTCCTGCACCGTGCAGTGGGAGCCCCCTGCCTACGACGGCGGGCAGCCGGTCCTGGGTGAGCTCAAGGGCGCAGGGACTGAGCCCGGTGGGGGGCGGGAGGGCGAGGAGGAGAGAGTGCAGGAGACGAGGGGACTGGGACCAGAGGAGAAGGGCCAGTGACCCCCGGTGGGGGGCGGGAGGGGGGTTCGGGAGCCTGGGCCCGCCACCCCCCTCCCCCCTCCCTGCCAGAGCTCTCCCACCTCCCGGCCCTCAGGCTACATCCTGGAGCGCAAGAAGAAAAAGAGCTACCGCTGGATGCGGCTCAACTTCGACCTGCTGCGCGAGCTGCAGCACGAGGCCAGACGCATGATCGAGGGTGTGGTGTACGAGGTGCGAGTCTACGCGGTCAACGCCGTCGGCATGTCCCGGCCCAGCCCCGCCTCGCAGCCCTTCATGCCTATCGGTGAGCCCGCCCCCCGCGCGGCCCCCCGCGCCGCCCCCACGCAGCCCCGTCCCGGCCGCTCTCTGTGGGCGGCCACCACACCGGGCGTTTTCGTCCCTGGTGCTGGGGACGACTGTCTCCAGGTCACCGATGAAGGATGCGAGGGTCCCTGAGGTTAAGAGGCCCGTGTTCCAGGCCGCCTGGCCGGCGGAGGTGGCTGAGACTCACCCACTCTGCCCCTTCCTTCCCCTGGAGCCTCACTCCCCGCATGTCTGAAATGGGGCGGGACCCCCCCGGACTCAGTTGGGTGGAATGAGAAAACGCAGGCAGGGCACCATGATATCAGGCCGTGGCTAGATCAATAACGGTTCCCACAGCCCGCGGCCTGCCACGGAGAACAGGCTAAGGGCAGTGGGTGCCTGAGGGCCCGGAGAGCCCTGGACTGGACGGGAGGTGGGGCTGTGGTCGGGTCCCTGCCCTAGGAGGGTCATCGGGGTCACCGTCTCTCCTCCAAGCTTCCAAGCTTCAGTCACCTCATCTGTGTAATGGGGGCTGCTTGAGCTGGGGTGTGGCCGGCTCTCGGGACACCTTGGGATGTGTGACTCTGGCTGGCGGCTGTCTGTGGGAGGGCCAAATACCCCCTCTGCCCAGGGAGGGGTGGCTGTGGGGAGAAGATCCTGGCCCCCCAGGGTCCTTCTGCTCAGCCCCTGCTGGCTCGCCGCCCTGGGGACCAGGGATGTCTACCGTTTTAAGGGGGCTTGTCCCTGGACTCCTCAAAAGTGTTTCTGATGCTGAGAGAAGTGGCTCCTTGTCAGCATCTGGGTCTCTTTTCCTGCTTAGATCCCTTTTGTAGCTGTGGGGGCTGTTTGTGTTAAAGCCATCTATGGATGTCCCAAATATATATATATATATATTTTTTTTTAATTTACTTTTTTTTTAAAATTTATTTATTTGTGTGTATACAGAACTGGGGTACAGGCAAGAGGCTCAGGGGCGGTGAGAGGCTTCACCAGAGACAGAGCGGCGAACAGAACAGGCAGATCGACGAAGTACACTGCTGAGGGGAGCAGCGGGCGGGTCAGGAGAGGTCTGCCGCGCCATGTGGTCACCTCCGGGACAGGCGGAAATCGAACTCATGTGGAAGCGACTTTAGATTCTCAGTGCTGTGCTTTAACCCGCTGTGCCACCAGGGAGGGCCCCAAATATATATATTTTAAGATGTATTTATTTATGCATCCAAGAGCGTGGTTGTAGGCCAGAGATATGGGCGGTGAGAGGACCCACCAGACAGAGTGGGGAGCAGAACAGGCAGAGTGACGAAATCCACTGCTGAGGGGAGCGGTGGGTGGGTCAGGAGAGGTCTGCCACGCCATGTGGGTCAGCTCCCGGGCCGGGAATCGAACTTGGTGCTGCAGTGGCTGTGGCCAGCTTCGTAGTGCTCAGACCCAGCCCCTTGTGCCACCGGGGAAGAGGCCCTGGAGCCTGGATATTTCTGAAAGTGCGTGAAAGCCTGTCCCACGGGCCGTTGGGGGTCGGGCTGAACAGCCTTGCTCAGGCCTCTCTGACTCCCCTCTGCCCAGGTCCCCCTAGCGAGCCCACCCACCTGGCGGTGGATGATGTCTCCGACACGACCGTCTCCCTCAAGTGGCGGCCCCCGGAGCGCGTGGGAGCGGGCGGCCTGGACGGCTACAGCGTGGAGTACTCCCTGGAGGGTTGTGAGTAGCCGCCGGGCCCCGGGTGCTCTGCGCCCAGCGCCCTTCTTCCGGGCCCGCCCGTGCCACCCTGCTGGGCCTGTCTGCAGAGGGTCCCATCGCCCGGGAGGGGGCGGGCGGGGGGCGGGGTGTCGCTGCTGATGCTGCTCGGGCCCTGGCTCCTTGTCCTCACCTCCAGCCCCGGAGTGGGTGGCCGCCCTGCCGGGGCTGACGGAGCGCACGTCCATGCTGGTGAAGGACCTGCCCACGGGTGCCCGGCTGCTGTTCCGTGTGCGGGCGCACAACGTGGCGGGGCCCGGGGCCCCCGTCACCACCAAGGAGCCTGTGACCGTGCAGGAGATATTGCGTGAGTGGCCCTGGGCGCGGCGCAGGATGGGCGTGGGGGTGGCCAGGGACAGCCTGCCTGAGGGGGGCCCAGGCTGCACAGGGGCAGCGGAGCTGTGTCCAGGCCCCAGGCCTAGGGCGGACATGCACAGGGAGGCCCACGGGGTCATTCCACGTCAACCCCCAGTTCTAGAACAGGGAAGACGTAGGTCATTCGATCACCGTCTTCAAGCTCAGTTCCGCGAGTCTCTCGTGGGACTGTCCCTGTGCTCGGGACGGAGCAGAGAGCCCGTCTGGGGGCCGCTGGCCCATCTGGGACCCGAGAGGATCAACTGTGTAAGCATCGGCCCCTGCGGTGGGAAGAGGTAGCAAATGGGTGGAAACAGCATGGGGCAGAAAGTCCCAAGACCTAGATGTGCCTCCTGACCTGTGATGTACTAGCTGTGTGACCTCAAATCAGTTGCTTTCCCTCTCTGATCCCAGTCTCAAACACTTAACTTTCGCTGTACAGTTTTCTTGGGGGCTGGGGTTAAAAGAGGAGCTCAAAGAGGGGCAAGCCCACAGGCAGCCTTTCCGTCATGGCAGCGGTCTGGGTGCTGCCAAGAAGACTGTGGTGGGCCTCGGGCCTGGGCAGTGGGGGCCCTCGTTGAGCAGCCCCTCTGTCCCCACAGAGCGGCCCCGGCTCCAGTTGCCCAGGCACCTGCGGCAGACCATCCAGAAGAAGGTTGGGGAGTCCGTGAACCTCCTCATTCCTTTCCAGGTGGGGCTGCCCTTTCCTGTGCCCAAGGGAGAGGTGCCAATGTGCTGTCCACAGCTAGAAAATGGATGTATCTCAGGCTGACAGACCCTGAGGCCTCGCCCAGGGAGAGCCGGGCTGGGGGTGAGCTGTCCCTCCCCACAGGGCAAGCCCCGGCCTCAGGTGACCTGGACTAAAGAGAGGCAGCCGCTGGCCGACGGGGAGGTGAGCATTCGCAACAGCCCCACGGACACCATCCTGTTCATCCGGGCCGCCCGGCGCGCCCACTCGGGCACCTACCAGGTGACGCTGCGCATCGAGAACATGGAGGACAAGGCCACGCTGGTCTTACAGGTCATCGGTGCGTACCCGTGGGCCCCCCTCTGAGCCCACTCATTTCCAGGCCCCGAGCTGGGCTGCAGGGCTTGCCGCCAGGCCTGAGAGCCTGACCGGGAGCCTCCCCTCCTCCAGTCCTGGGGCCTCCTCTGGGTGCCCGGGAGGAGATGGCAGACCAGGTCCTGGCCAGCAGGGGTGAGGGGCCCGGGCCTGGCAGTCACTCCCGCCCAGGGCCAGGAGGTGTGGTGGGCAGCTGGTCTGTCTTGCAGACAAACCGAGTCCCCCCGAGGATCTCCTGGTCACTGAGGCGTGGGGCTTCAACGTGGCTCTGCAGTGGAAGCCACCCCAAGATGATGGCAATACAGAGATCTTGGGTTACACAGTGCAGAAAGCTGACAAGAAGACCATGGTGAGGTGGGGGCCTGGCCCCCACAGGCAGCTTCCCAGGGCCGGGGTACCTGCCCCGGCTGATCTTACTATGGGTTCCCCTCTCACCCTCCTGCTCTGGTCTGGTTCCTTCCGCGGTTGGGGTGCTGACCCCAGGGTTGCCGAGAGAGGCCTAGACCTCGAGGCCGCGTGCCTCCCCCCACCCGCAGGAGTGGTTCACGGTGCTGGAGCATTACCGGCGCACCCACTGCGTGGTGTCTGAGCTCATCATCGGCAACGGCTACTACTTCCGGGTCTTCAGCAATAACGTGGTGGGGCCCAGTGACAAAGCTGCCACCACCAAGGAAGCTGTCTTTATCCCCAGGCCAGGTGCTGTCTCACTCCTCTCCCTGGGGGGGAGCGGAGGGGAGCCTGGCTCGGGGTGGCCCTCTTGCCTACAGGCATCACAACCTCTTGCCAACAGGCATCGCCTACGAGCCACCCAACTACAAGGACCTGGACTTCTCTGAGGCCCCCAGCTTCACCCACCCCCTAGTGAACCGCTCCGTCATCGCTGGTTACAACACCACCCTCTGCTGCGCTGTCCGGGGTAGCCCCAAGGTCGAGAAGACAGGACCCTGGCTGGGTGTGGGGGGGGAGAGGCAGGGCCCAGCGGCCCCCCCAACTGGCCTCTGCTTCCCCGCAGGGCATCGAGGCTCCTCTGAGGGGGTGGGCACCCTCCGGCTCCCTGTTGGCCCCGGCCTGGGGCATAGTTTGGGACCCGGGACAGTACTGCAAATGCGTCTCCCCGGTTCCCCTCAGCTGACTCCGTGTCCCTCCCTCCCTGGCACTCATCCACAGCCCAAGATCTCCTGGCTGAAGAATGGCCTGGACCTGGGAGAAGACGCCCGCTTCCGCATGTTCAGCAAGCAGGGAGTGCTGACCCTGGAGATCAGAAAGCCCTGCCCCTTCGACGGGGGTGTCTATGTCTGCAGGGCCACCAACTTGCAAGGCGAGGCACAGTGTGAGTGCCGCCTGGAAGTTCGAGGTGAGGAGCCCCCGCCCCCCACTCCCCGCCCCCGGCTGGGTGAGGAGCCGGCCCCAGCTGGGACTCTGCTGACCTGGCCACCCACTGGCCCTGTCACCGCTGGGGGCACCTGGCTTCCGGGCTCCCTCTGGAAGGCTGGGGGCCCCATGTGGTGCTGGGAGGTGCAACACAGCTGTGGCATGGCCTCCCTTTCTCCCGCAGTGCCACAGTGACCAGGCTGGCAGCCCATGGCCAGGTATGTGCTCTTGACTGCCTGACTCCTCAGGGCCCAAATCAGAGGCTCAGTCCTGGCCCCTGGTCCAGGGCAGCCAGGAAATTGGAGTGAGCTGGCCCCTGCCAGCTCACTCACAAGGGAACCCATGTTACAGGCTCAGCTGGCTCAACTGGCCGCCACCCGCATAGCAGGAGCCCCACAGGGCGCGGACAAGCCTCCTCCTGCTGCTGCTGTGTGTGTGTGTGTGTGTGTGTGTGCACGCGGGCGCAGTGTGTATCTTGGGGCTGCGCTGGGGAAGCTCTGGGAGTGGGGGGCGGGGGGGCGGGCACTGTGCAGACTGAAGCTGCTGTGAGAGCTGCTGCTGGAAACTCTCAGGTCTCTGGGGCGAAGAGAGGGCGGGCGGGCCGAGAAGCGCCGGTGGGGCTGACGTTCCGGCCTGCGCGCCTGCCTTTCAGTGTGGACGGGCAATAAAAGATGAGCCGGCCCCGGGGTCTGCCTCTTCTCACCCGGCGCCAGTTCCCACAGTGACCACGGCAGCCCGCTTGCTGTGCAGGGCGGAGGAGGCAGGTGCTGTCTCCGGCCTCGGGGAGCGCCGGCTCGGGAAGCCCACGCCAGACGAGCCTGCGCCTCCCCACCGCACACCCTCTTCAGTGGGGCAGACTCTCCGGCGGGCGGAGAGCGCGTCGGTGGCAGCGCCAAGCTTGGGCTCCCCCCTCCCCTGCACAGCCCGGGCTGGCTACTTTGTCCCGGTGGCCCGTGGCACAGTGGCCCGGGCGTGCTCCCACGCCCAGAGTCCTGGAGAGGAGCTGCACGAGGCTGCTTCTGGCCCCTGAGCAACCAGCCCACAGGCCCCCACGCCCATCACTCGCTGGGAAAGCCCTTCTGTCCAGCCCAAGACACTGGGGCCCGCTCTGCCCCACTCTTCGCCCGCCCTTTCCTCCTGGGAGGAGGAAGCCAGCAGGTCTCAGAGGTGCCCTGCTGGGGTATGTGAGGGCCAGAGGTTTTCCATGGCATAAGGGAAATGTCGTGTGGGCTGGTTCTAGTGGCTTTTCAGAGCTCTAGCCAAGATACTTGGGGCCACGAGCCCAAGGTCCTAGTGAGGTCATAACACCTCTCTGGGCCGCACCTGCCAGGGGCCCGCAGCCAGGACCCTTAGCCTTGGTTTTTCTCTCACTGTGCGAGTAGTCGCTGCTCAGGCGCTGCTCCCTCTAGTGGCCAGTTCTCAACAGTGCAGCCACAGCTGCAGAGACAGAGGGAAGGCCACAGCCCACAGCCTCTGGGGGGGGGACAGGGTAGGGGTGGGGAGGGAGGAACCCTGCTGGCCTGGGCTCAGACCAGTCAGACCCCCTCTCCCTCCTCCTCCAGCCCAAGGCGGAGGAGAGTGCTGGGTCAGCCTTCGCCAGGCCTGGCTGCAAGGAGGCATCCTTCAAGGCCAGGCAGCCAGGAGCCCAAGGGGGGGTTAGGACGTTTATTCACATTCACAAGTCTGTACATTTTCTATAAATAACGTGGAGCAGAAATATTTACAATGATCTCTTCCCCAGCCCCGGGCCCCTCTCTCTCTGGCACCCACTGCCAGGAGACGCTGCCCGCAGACTCAGAGCTGTACACCGAGCTCGGCCTCTCACCAGCCGGCCCTGGCTCGGGGCCCGGGGGTACTCCCAGCCCACCAGTCTGCTTTCTCCCGCCAAAGGCAGAGAGACCACGGGCAATCGCTGCTCAGCAAAAAGCGGCCCACAGCGCCGCCGCGCGGCCGGGGCGGAAACCACAGCAGGCGGCGGTGCTGCCGCTGGGCAAGGCCTAGGAAGCAGGCGGCTGCCACACATCCGCGGCCAGCACCCCTTGCTCTGCCCTTCCCCTGCCCACCCTTGTCTGGGGACAGGCCTCAAGCTCGCCTCTCTCCACCACCGCGGGGCTGCTGCTCTCGGCACCCCGTTGTGCCAGCACAGAGGACAGGGGGGCAGAGACCTGCACTGGCAGGTCCTAACCCCAGGGCCGAGGCATCACAGCACAAGTATCTCAAGGACACGCAAAAGTGGGTTCGCACTGGCCTGGGTTCAGCTCTTAGGAGCCAATGGCCCAACGGACAAGACACACACAAACACTCTTGAGCCCTGAGGGGACAGCAGGCTGGTCTTCTGGGAGCGGAGGAGCGGGGGACACGGCCCTGTGACAACACTCCAAGACACGCTGACACACACTTAACTAGACACCAGCTAAGCCATGGCGAGGGCCTGCAGGGCACACACGTCCTTCACTCCTCGGTCACAGCAGCGTCGTGCACACGGGGAGGCAAGAGGCAGCGGCCTCCCCTGGGCTGGGGGCCTGACTCCTCTCCATCAGCTAGAGACGGGCCGGGGTGGGGTCCTGAGGTCTTCCTCACTGCTCCGAACTGCAGCCACATACGAGAAGAGACACAACACAGAGTAGCAGATCTCGTGGGCCTAGAGGGGAGGGAAACCACAAACGTCAAGCTCACGCGATCACCTGTGTTCATGTGGAGAGCTGCCAGGTGGGGACTCCTGCCCCGAGCTGGGCCCAGGCCTCCGGGCTAAAGAGCCCCAAGCACGCTCAGAACTGTGGGCTGGGGGCGAGGAGGTGTCTCTGCCCCTCAGGGCTGAAGACCTGCTTTGGCTTCAGTGGAGTCCTGGCCGTCTAGACACGTTCGCCTCTCACGCCATCTGCAACCCCCTCACCCTGTGCTTCCTCGGCGGGCCCACCCGTCTCTCCGAAGGTCCCCGGGGAGCCCTGCGCAGACTTTGGCGGGTCAGAGTCAGGCAGCAGACTCACCATTGGTGTCTTGTACTTGTGGCTCACCACTTCTTTAATTTCAGGAACTAAAACCGGACGGGCAAGAGACAAAACAGAAAGTTCAACACTAAGAGCAACTGAGCCAGGCTCCCCCAGGCGGCAGCGCCCGGCACCAGGGTCCCTTCCCTCCGTGGCCTCTCCCAGTGCTGAGCAGCTGAGCTACCACGGGGCCGGGCCTCGGAGGGTGGCCCGCCCTGCTGGCTGCGGAGACTGGCCCAGACTCCTCAGCCCGTGGCTCACGGCTCAATGGCTGTGAGAGCCCCAGCACGGGGCCGGCCTGGTCACTGCTACTGTCCAGGGCCCCAGGAGCTCCCAGCGAGGCGTTCCCAGATTCGGGCTGGGAAGAGAGTGGTCTCCAGCCTGGGCCTCACCTTTCTGGGGCGCCGAGCACTCACCCCTGCCACCAGCCCCCCTCGGGTGGTGGTAAGCACACTCCCTGGACTGCCAGCCCCTACGCAGAGGGCCCTGAGGCTGGGTGAAGAGGTAGCAGAATACTAGACCCACCAGACCTGCACGTGTCCTTCCCTGAGTGGCAGGAGAGGCCCAGGCCTGCCTGTGTGAGGGAGAGCGTCAGAGGGCTCTGGAGCAGGCACACCGAGCAAAGGGGACAGGCGAGTACAGCACCAGGAGAAGTGACAGGGAGCAGCAGGCAAATACACACATGTCCACAGCCCAGACCGCAAGACCAAGAGTCACCCCTGCCCCAGCCATGCAGGGCAGCTGCTTGGCCGGAGGACGGAGGAAGGCCCCGCTCATCATCCTCATGTCCCCTGGAGACTGGGAGCAGAGGGGCGTGCCATCCCCTGGGGGCCAGAAAAGGTAGGGTGTGAGTTGGCCACACCTCCTGGCCCTTGGGAGTAGAACTGGACTGGGGGCCAGGGGGAGCCCAGGGTTAACAAGGAACAAGCTCGTCAAAGGTAGAGCAAGAAGCCCAGGTCCTTCTCTTGAGCAGGAAGATCCCCCCCAATATCTCTCTAGCAGAAGAGAGAAGGGCGCACCCAAGGGGCGAAGACTACCCTAGCAGTGAGCCAGCGAAGTGGGGGGTCCGTGGGGGGGCTGGGTCGGGAAGGAAGAGGGCGGGGAGAGAAAGGAAGAGACAAACTGGCGCTGTGAGCAGCTGGCGTGGTTGAAGGAGCCCGCCCCACCCGCTGTGGGCCCGCGGCAGGGCCTGGGAGAGGCAGCACAGGCCGAGCGGAGTCACTTTACCTGCTGGAGAACGAAGGTTTTCATAGCAGCGATGAGGGGCACAAAAGAATGAAGCACAGACACAGCAGGAACTCAAGCCCCAGGGCGAGGACCCGACCCCATCCTCAGCGAGGCTGGGCAGGCTGGCTCCCAGCTTCCACCTACGCTGCCCGCTGCCCCTGAGGCCCGCTAGGCTGCTCTGCCCTCGAGAGGGGTCTGCCTCCCTGCCACACGCCCCTCCTCGAGCACACGCTGGCGGAGGCCGGGGCGGCTCCAGGGCCGAGCTGCCGGAGGGGTCACAGCGGCGACAAGACACAGCAGAGCTTGGGGAGCCCCGGCTGCTCTGCCCCAGAACTTTCTGACCACTGGCTGGCCAAGCAAGGGAAAGTGGCGCGGGTTCCCTGAGCCCTTCCAGTACCGTGGCTAAGGTCCATGGCCGCCGAGGCCACTTGCTGGCCCGAGGTCCGCTCCCAGCAGCCTTCGCCTGTCTCGCCTTTCTCCTGCCCTGCCCTCACTCAGTGTCCCTCGCCCTCCCTATCTCTTCTGCCCCTCTGGACCTCTCTGCAGAGGTTCTTCTTCTTTCTGCCTCTAGTCCCTCCTCTGGAGCTCCGAGGTTTGAGTTACTGCCATGTGAGTCCAGACCTAAGAGCAAAATAGTGTAATTACCAAATTCCTCCAGGACAAAGACGCCTCGAACTGTATTGCACTTTTTAATGTGATTCAGCTCTATGAAAACCTGCAAGAGAGGGAGGGAGGGGTAAGGCCTGGGGCCCCTCCCAGGCCCCACAAAGCCCACTCCCAGCTACAGCCCCACCCCCACACAGAACACCTATTTCCCAAAGGGCCGACAGAAGAATCCACACACACACACAACTCCAAAGTGCTGAGAAGCGAAGATAGCAGAAAGGGCATGTACCTTCCGCTCCTGGCCGGAGGAGAAAGCATGGGAGAGAAATGAAGGTGTTAGTTTTAACGGTCAAACCCACCCCGAGGCCCCCTGCTGGCCTGGGCTGCTTGCCCATACGCTGTAGGACATGGCGCCCCGGGTCCTCCTCTCGGCCCCTCAGCTCTCTACCCTTCCATGCATCCTCCTCCGGCGCAGAGGGCTGGCACGGGTGCAAAGCTCCCCTCAGACTGCCCGTGGGGTGGGAGGTGTCGGTGTCTTCCTTGCAACAGGATTCAGGCTCTCCAAGAAGTGCGTGGTGATCACACACGCCACTATGAGCACCTACTAGGACTTCTGCTAGCACCACGCGTGATTCCTACACCTACGTGGCTCGCTGTGCCGTGTACCCTTTGCTGCAGAGAGGCGGACTGAGGCTCAGCGCGCTGTTTGCTCATGAATAATGAAGCTGGGCTTCCCATCCGAGCGGCCCTGACTCCCAAGACTACGCCCCCTGCGTGTTACCGCGCAGGCAGGGCTCCGGCGACTGTCCTGTGCCGCCCCACCTCCACTGACCGGTGTGTGGCAGAAGACGGAGCCCAGAGCCTATATCTCATTACCAGTCGGAACTCTCCTGGGGGCGGAGCCTGAGGCCACAGACCAGTCTGCACGGGCTCTGTGAGGTTACAGGTGTGGTCAGGCTAGAGGGGCTAGGGACCCGGAAAAGGACAGGGCATCTGGGTGCTGTTTTGCCAGAGCTCTGCAGAAGGTGAGGCACTGAGGAAGCCACCGCACTGAAGTGGCCGGAAGCCTGCTCCCCAAAGAGTGCCGGCACCTTCACGGGCCAGAAAAGTACTTAACGAACCCCTCTTGGGTCCAAGTCTAAGGTCCTAAATATACCGTGTAGCTTGTGATGACCCGTGGTCAGTACTGCCAGGACACCTGGGCAGCTGCTTCCCACCCACCGGAGCTGCCTGGCCGGATTCCTGAAAGACGAAGCGCTAAGTGGCGAGTGCAGGGAAAAGGCCCCAGGTCCGATGTTCACCTCCCTGTGCATCTGCTCCAGGCCAGGGCTCTGCACACACGGTGCTGGCTCAGGGCTGGCTCGGGGCCTCAAGGAGAGGGACGGGGGAGGGCGGGAAGGCACTTGTGTGAAGAGTCAGAACTGGGAACGGACCTGGGATGACGCGCTGGCCTCAGAAAGGAAATAGCTTAAAGGGATGTCCACTGAGAGAAAAAGTAACACTGTGTTAGAAGACCAAGAGAGAGAGAAAAAAGTCAGCATCTAAGGTGGAATCACAAGGAGGGAAAGATGTATCCTGAGATGCTCCCACATCAAAAAAGGGGGAGTGGGGCCTGTGGAGCAGGGGACAGAGTGGGGACACTCAGAGGAAGGGAAAGAATGGGAAGAAGAGTCAGCAGGAGAACAAGGCAAATAAACACACCCACTCGGATAGAACAGTAGGAGCTACTCACACGCACACAGCGTCACACACGCTGGAAACACGCGGGCGGATGCGCTGCTCTACACTCTCAAAGCAAAACCACCAGCAAAGCACACCCCGGGGCGAGGGAGGCGGACACCGGGAGAGGCCAGGAGAGACGCTCCCACTCACACTGCGCTGGGTCGAGGGGGGAGGCCGCGGCCGCCCAGGCCCTCACTCGCCGGCGCCCACGGACGCTCCCCGCTGCGCCTCAAGGGGGCGCCCACCTCGCTGTGCCCGCCCTGGGTTCTCACTCTGCCAGTGCTCCAGCTCACCGGCAGACCCCAGAGGCCCTCTCTCACGCTCCCTGGGAAGCACCGGACACCTCCTACGCAGATGGAACAGCAGGGCCAGGAAGCCCTGGGCCGCCCCTCGCACCCACCTGGTTGTGCATGAACTTGAGATTGATCCCTTCCAGCGTGACCTGCAGCAAGCCCCCCTCGCCGGTCTTCATGTCCTGCACGGGGAACTCGCCCCCCAGCTCAGGGCCTGTGGCGGGCGGGGCAGGTTATCAGCTGTGGGCAGGGGGCGTCCCTTGCCCCCCGCCCGGCCCTGGGCAGCTCAGGGACTGCACTCTGCTCACCCGGCTTGATGCTCTGCTGGCGCGCAGCGGCGCGCTCCATGCTGTCCTTCACGCAGTAGTACAGCTCCCGACACTGGCGGGAGGGAGAGGGACTGTCAGGGGCCTCGCTGAGGGCGGGAGGGGCCCCTGCGCCACCCAGGCTGGCTGGGCCTGGCCTCGAGCGCTCCGCCTCTGAGCCTCTGACAGCAGAGCCGGGGCCAAAGCGGGGCTCGGCTGCGGGTCTGGGAACTTTGACCTTCCTGCCAGAGACTCAGACTCCGGGCTCTCCCCGCCCCACCCCTCTGGGCTCTGCCCGCCCCCACCCCCGCGACACTCAGGGGCACCTTCTTGGTGTAGAATTTGTTGAGCTGCGTCTCGGAGCCATTGCGACGCCACAAGCACAGCACCTTGGTCTTGGGGCAGTAGGTCATGTTGATGAGCTTCTCGTACCACCAGCGCTCGTACACGGTCCCGATGCTGCTGCGCAGCACCACGCAGTCGTCGCACACCTGCAGGGGCGCAGGGCGCAGGTTCCTCCCCGCGCTGCCCCCGGCTGCCCCCGGGAGGGGCGCCCCCCCCCCCCCGCAGTGGCCCCCCGCCAGGCTTTCTGTCGCGCTCAGTCTCCCTCAGACGGGCACACACACGCGCACACACACATGCGAACGCACACACACGCACACACAAACACACACACACACAACTGCCGGGCGTCCCTGCCCACGGGTGCCACGGCCCGGGCGCTCCCCTGCTGTGTTCAGGGCTCAAAGCACTCAGAGGACAGACAGCTCACGCCTCCCCTACACTCAGGGCCAGACAAGGGCAGGACAAAGGCAGGGATGGCGGCAGGCCCACGGGGGGAAGGAGAACCACAGCATTTTCTAATCCTGGCTTGGCCCCAGGGCTGTGTCAACCTTAAAAGATCGTTGGTGACGGAAGTGACATGTGGATGGAGCCACTGCGAAGAATTCTACAATCCAGGGAGACAGCAGTTGAAAGCCAAAGCCCCCGTCACGGCCACCTGCTCAGCACCCCCATCTGTCTGACTCGAGGACCCTGTCTGCAGCACGGTGGCTGAGGCCTGGCTCGAGCCGCCCTGGCTTGGAGGCCGCTGCGCCCTTCCTGGGCTGGCCACCTTCGGGGAGTTGGCCTGTGTCTGTGCTTCCTTATGTGCAAGGGGAGGGCAGGAACAGCCTCACGGAGAGGTGGTGGAGAGGAAGTACGTTAGTGGACATAAAAAAGCCAGGCACATGCGAGAGCACCCCAGGGCCAGCTGCCACCACCTCAACAATATAGGAAATACAGTGACAGCTATCACGGCCGTGCTGATGGTCAAGTCTTTCCCCAAGGGAGACCTGCCTCCCTGACTTCCAGGATCTCCTCTATCGGGATGTCCCAGAGGCAACATCTCAAACCTCTCCTGTTGGAACCTGAGTGTGATCTCCCGGGCCAACTTCCCCTGTGCGCCCTGAGCAAACGGCACTGCTCTCCCCTCTCTCCTCGCTCGAGGAGGCTGCTCTTGCCTCTAACCAGGGTTGAGGCCCACACTTCCTACCACAAATAACCCTGAGCAGTCTCCCCCTCCACTCTGATCATCTGCTTCTGTTCTCCCTTCAAGTCTAAGCTCATCGGCCACTTCTGAGTCGCCCGTGGGTCCGAGCCCCTCGCTAGTGTATGCCCCAACACCTGCCACCCTCTCATGGCATCACACTTCACCACCCCAAATTTCTGACTTCTCCAATGGCTTGTCAACCCTGTAAAGGTCCCCAGAAACCACATCGCCTTTCTTCTCTGCTGTGACCCCACCCCCAGCGGAGTACCTAGGATATAACATGTGTCCACAAATATAGGTGGATAAATAAGGGACACACCAGACTGATCACTTAAGAGCCTGCTAGAGTTCTGAAAGTTTGATGAAGAGAAAGTAGCAGAGTAGGAACTGGAAATTGGGTTCAGCCTGTGGTTCTCTTCATGTGGAAAATGGAGACCTGGACTCGGCTCTCATAGTCCTGCAAGCGCGTTGTAGAAAGGAGAGGGCAGGTGTTTAGGAGATGTGGCTGGAGGAGGAGGATAATGTGTCACCCTGCCTCAGCTCTAGAGGGCGCTGTAAGCTGGCAGTTCTGGGGATGGCAATCTGGCACATCTATCACATATCAAAAGCATTATAAGCCGCTTCAGAAATTTTATGCTAACAATCTACCCGACAGAAGTTCTCATGTGAGGGTACAAAGATATTTGTTCATGTCTATCAGCGAAACACTGCTTACTAACAAAACAGTAAGGTAAACGTCACATCCTTATAATACCCAATGGCTGAGATTCATTTCAAAAACAGTCATTTACGTATAATCTGTGGCTACAGAAAGACATCTGTGATACATTAAGTGGGGAAAAAAACCAGATTATAGAATAATAGTTGCAGTTTGATATCACAAACTTTTTTTAAACATAAGACAAATTTCCATTAAGTAAGCTGCATTTATACAAATAGTCACGTTTAAAATCTTACAGGATTCACACCGAGCTCTGTAACAGGGGTTACCTCTACGACAAGGCACTGGAAGAAAGTGAAGGGAGCTTTCACTTTTCATTTCTATGTGGGCTACAATTTGCACTGCATGTTATTCTTTTGTAATGACAACAAAACCAATAACGGTAATTTCAAAGTCTTTGCCAACTGCTGTCCGGCAAGAAGGCTGTGCTCTGAAAGGCTGCGTCAGTTACCTCCCAGCCCTGGCAGGGGCTGGGCACCTATTGTCAGCCGCTCACAGGAGGGGCAGCTAGGAGTGATGGGGCCCTCCTGTACTCCAGGGCCCTCTATGAGGCACCCCGCGTGGGATGAGGGGAGTCTTCTGGAGAGAGACTGTTTAAAAGGACAAGAATGGAAGCCACCTCTACTGTGGGGCGGGTGACCCAGCTACTCTCAGCTCTGAGAGGTGCCCAGCCAAATCCTAAAGCTTCAGGGTGACATTAGCATGTACATTTCTGCTTCAGAGAAGAACCTCATGCTTGTTTGATAAAATACCTGTTCAAGAAGCTGTGAGTATAAAAACCAATCTCAACGACACCAAAAGTTGTACTAATTATTTACTTTTACTACTGTATATAGGAGTTGTATTTGGTTCCTATAATTACTTAGAGGAGGTCCATCTCAGAATTAAAAACACAGAAGTGGGTCCTCCCTGGTGGCTCAGTGGGTTAAAGTGCAGCGCTATGAAGCTGTCTGCAGCCACTGCAGTAGGAGTTCAATCCCCAGCCAGGGCAGTGACCCACAAGGCGCGGCAGACCTCTCCTGACCCATTGACTTCTCCCCTCAGCAGTGTATTTCACTCAGTCTGCCTGTTCTGCTCCCCACTGTGTCTCTGGTGAATCCTCTCACCCCTCCCCCCCTCCTCTGGCCTATACCCCAGTTCTTACATGCATAAATAAATAAATCTTTAAGAAAGCACACACAGGTCTGAAGAAAATATGACCAATTTCCTTTACAGTCCTGGAGAAGGGTTTTTTTAATTGATAACTATGACTGCAAATCCAAAAGTCATAAATTCAGCTACATAATATATAAAGCTGATTAATTCAACTACATAAAAGTGAGACAATTCTAAATGGCAAAAGAATAGCATATACAACAGCACACTGATGAGGGACTTTACAATGGACAGATCAGGCTCCTGCTTCTGAAGCCCCTGACCATGAGGAGAGACACAACAGGAAATCTACAGCAAAATATTGAACATGAGGGGTCTCCCTGGTGGAGCAAGGGATTAAATCTCAGCACTATGCAGCTATCAGCAGCTACTGCAGCACTGGTTGGGTCCCTGCCAGGGAGCTGACCCACAGGGCGCAGCAGACCTCTCCTGTCCCACCCGCTACTCCCCTCAGCAGTGTATCTCACTGGATTCCCCCTGTTCTGCTCCTCACTCTGTCTCTGGTGAATCCTCTCCCCCCTGCACCTCTGGCCTGTACCCCCATTCTTGTATGCAAAAATAAATAAATAAATCTCTCCCCCAATTTTTTTTTTAAAATACTGAATTGGAAACTGATCAACATTCCAGACTGAATTACAAGTGATATAGATAAACATATTCAACACCACCAAAGAGATGCAATTAGCAGAAAATCTAGGACAGGAGTTAGTCTACAGGGTACCTTTCCTTTCACAGTGGGTGGGAGACTATTTTAAAAGAACAACAGGGTCATATGAAGCTTAGTTCCAATTACATTCCCCTTGGAACCAGCAATTCCACTTCTGCAAACTCTTAGATACACCTGCCCATGCACACACGAAGCATCACTCATAGTAGCACTACATGAGACAGCAAAAATACAGAAGAAATCCAAGAATACATGCACACTGGTTAGTTAGCTAACCTGGGGCAGTGGGACACTCTGCTGTAGTAAAGAGAAAGCTCTTTTTGTACTGGTGTAGGAGATCTCCAGGATGTGTTTATGAGCACATGAAAAAATGGAAAAAAAAAAAAAACCCAACATACAGAGCAGTGGATAAGATCTGCTACCTTTCAATAAAGAGAGAAAAATAAAAATTTATATTCAGGTTTTGTTGTTTGTATTTAAAAAGCCACTGGCAGAATAAAAGCAACCAGCAAAAGTGCTTATCTACAGGAGGAAGGGATGAGGTGGGTGGAAATTGAGTGACAGGGCGAAGAGTGAGGGTGTGACCTTCAAAGTCTATATAAGGACATTAGGACTGTGTCTTCTACTCAGTGTACATAAAAGAGATGATGGGGAACCATATGTTATAGTCTCTTATTTGCATATGAGCTGATGATTTAATCATAAGTGGATCATAAAGATGAATGATGAGATAAATGGGAAAAACTATTCTGGCATCAATTCTAGGAGTTTCTGATGACTCTCAGATGTTCCCCGAGCCCCAAGCATCACTGGCACCTACCTCCATGAAAAAGATGTCTCCATTTGTGTCTGTCCCTGCGTGTACCACAAAAGTCTGCTTCTTCATGTGCCGGCTGCCACTGGAACGGATGGAGAGATCACGTCCATTCTGAAGAACGAGAAGCCTTTGAGGGACATACACACATCCTTCCCCCAGAGCGCTCTGGACCCCCCAGACAGCAATAAATTCCCATCAGTCCCCTTAGGAGGATCATCTACAGGTCACTGGTCCAGGTGTGTGTTCTCACACCTTTTGTTCTCAGGACGCCTGTACCTCTTAAAAATTACTGCCAACCCCAGGAAGTTCATATTTATGCGAGTTAGATTTATAGATACTTAAATCTAAAGCAGAGTATTTGTTAAAACAGAGAATTTGTTTCTTTAAAAAGTATTATTTTGAAGTAATTTAAAAAGTAAGAATTCATTAATAAGTCAACACCATGATACTACAAATAACATATTTTGGATCAAATAACTGTATTGCCTAAAAGAAAAAGTAAGAGTGACACCATTTGAACATTTTGCTAATCTCTTTAATGTCTGTCTTGATTTTAAAAAAAAAACAGCTGAATTCCTCATTTCTGCTGGACTCGGTACATTCAGCCTGTTGTGATATGTCGCTTGGATTGAGGTGTATAAATAGAATCTGGCTGCACAGATATGTATTTGGTGAAGGGAGGAGTACTTTAATAGCCTTTCCAGAAAATAAAGCAGATTCTCCCTGCTACATTACCAAAACCCCAGAAACAGCAGTTTCTTTATGTTATTTTGCAGTGTGGAGTCTGGAAACATTTGTTAACATTTTGCACTCTGTTACAGTAAGGCCCATGTGTCTGCCTTACATTTTGAGTGAATGTTTTTCTCATACTTGACCTCACACATTGGTCATTTGGGAAATCTAGTTTACTGAAGTGTACAGCTCTCCCAAATGTTGACACATTTCATTGCACAACATCAAAAAACCACATTCACTGATCTCATCCGAAAGTCCTAAAACCAGGAGGCTTCTCATTCAAAGGATTTCTAAAGTTCTCACTTTCACTAAAAAGCTTGACTCTCATCACTGGCAACAAGGTTTATTTTATGTAGACGAATGTCTACCAAAGGCCTGTTCAGCATAACCATTACTTGGTAGTCATTCTTTTCAGTAAAAATGAGCAAAGCTGTCAGTTCGCCTTGCAAGTCAAACTGTCACAACTGCTTTTCTGCAAAACAACCATGTTTTGGTTTGCAGCAGAAATGCTAAGTATTTTGCATTTGGTCACAGAATGTAAAAAAGCTGTCTAATCAATGATTGAGATTTTATAAAAGTAACCATTTTAATTGCATCATCGAGGACATTCACAAGTGAAAGTGGCTTTTTTAAAAAACTGTGTTTGTGTGGAGGTGAGGATGGCAGCTGCCACAGTCAGTCTGGGGTGCTGCCTTCACTGTGTTGAGGCGTCAGTAGTTTTACAACCACACACTTCCACCAGCAGGGCCGATGTCAGCCCAGAGAAAAGGGCAAACACTTTAGTATCCCGATGAAAACAGTTCTGTGCATCCTCGGGGGCCACAGACGACCTGAGCACAGAGGACGCCCTGCCGAACAGAAGGGCTAACGCCTTGTTTTGAAAATATACAGGCCAAGAAGTGACCTGCGGGGACACCCGTGTGGCAGGTACCTCAAGGCCTGAGGCAGTGACTGGTGAGGACGGGGCAGGGACGCCGAGGGGACAGCCCGGAGGCTTACCAGGTCTGCCAGCTGATCGAGCACCTCGTTGATTTGCTGGCTGTACGTGAGCCCAATGTGCGACTTCCCCATGAGGCGCCTCACCTTCTTCCGGATGTCGTTCTTGTTTACCTGGAGAGCCAAGACGGGGTCTGATCAAGGAGCCGCTCTCCTCTCACCCACCAAGGCGGAGGCAAGGGACAGGTCAGCCTCCTGCTAGCGGAGACGTGGGACTGGAGCGTGAGACAAACTTCCCACCGTGAGTCCTCCCAGCAGGCTCTGCCTCGCAGAAAGTGCACTGAGAGCAGGTTTGCCTATGCACTGGTGTTGGAGACACACATCCTCCCACCCCGACAGTACCATAGGAGTCACCCCAAAGGGGCCCTCAATGTGTCACTCAGAATCAGTGACCCAGAGCAGTGGCCCTCTGGACGCAGCTGTAGCTGAGACACTCCCAACCTGAGCCACCCGAACCCCCGTGCCTTGGGTTCTGCCCACAGACGAGAGCGAGCCTTACAGCAGAAAATGAGGCAGAACAAGTGGGCCCAGGGGCCTCTCTGCCTCCGGCCTGCACACTCAGAGGGCTGCAGAGCAGGCGGGAAACACCACCAGCCCAGGCACAGACTCCCTTTCTGAGCAGGACTCTTCTTGGGGAGCCTACTTGGGCCACAGCTATAAAAACCAAGTATGACCAAGTCAACCTAGAGTTTTCCATTATTTTTTAATGGGAAGCTCTTTCTACGTGTCTAGAAAATTCTCTGATAAAGGGCTGGTGCAGAGAAGTGAGTTTTGTGCATTCCTTCCAAGGTTTGAGAACCTACTACTCAGAAACAAACTTCTTTCCCATTCACTGTATTCTGTGGGAATCTTTATGCCATCCTGAAACCACTCAGCAAAGGCAAAGCAATTAAAACTCAAACAGGGTGGAGCACAAGCGAGTTTGTGGTAGACGGACTATGGACTATTGGTGATACCTGATGGGAGTGGGGGTACCCCAATGTTATGCTGGCTAACAATAAATTAATTTTTTTAAGATTTATTTATTTATGCATACAGAACTGGGGTACAGGCCAGAGGTGTAGGGGTGGTGAGAGGCTTCACCAGAGACAGAGTGGGGAGCAGAACAGGCCGACTGACAAAGCACACTGTTGAGGGGAGCAGTGGGCGAGAGAGGAGAAGTCTGCCACGCCATGTGGGTCAGCTCCGGGGCGGGGATCGAACTCGCACTGAAACGTCTGCTGCGAGCTTGTAGTGCTGCGTCCTAAACCACTGCACCACCAGGAAGGGCCCAAAGATAAATTAATTTTTAAAGAAACCTCAAAATAAACAACAGGTATGAAATTTCAGTCACTTTTACAGTGTCCCTTAGCACAACCACCTGACAGTTTCAGGTAAGTGGACCATATGAGCTGCAGAGAGGCCAGCCTCTCACCCAGGAAGAGAGGCCTAGTGAGGTGCTCTGACAGCTCCCCAACTGCCCAGAACTCAGGGGAGGCGCTTTGCCTGCCATCATCGTGGTGGCGGGGTGTAATAAAATCAACCTACCTTCATCAGCAGCATGTAGGAGATGAGGTTGTGCAAAAGCGTGGCCAGCAAGCGATCTTCATCATCCTCCAGGCGCTTCCGGTCATGTTCCCCCAGGGACAGGTACCTGAGCAGGAAGCCAGCAGCAAGTCAGACCCAATGTGGCAGCTCACAGGACCAGCCAGGGGAGGCCAAATCTGCATTTCCACAGGCTTCCTAAGCCCCTACCTGTCGATCATTTCCTGGGGACCCTGGTCCATCCCCATCCCCTCTCTCTCCAACATCACAGCATCTAAGAATGCATCTTCCCAGAACTGCATTTGGTCCCACAAAGTAGAACGTTCTTTGCCTGTGTACAACAGAGGGGCTTTAGGGGCTGGTTTAACACATAAAGAATAAAGCTACAAAACCCAAAGAGAGAGTAAACCACCAAATAAAACAGAGTCACCGCAAATGCCACACACAGTAAAGGACACTGGCCTCTCCACCCAGGCCTAACATGCCTGCCACCAGCCCCAGCGCCTCCAGGGAGGCCCAGTCCCTCCCGAGATGGTGGGACGAACACAGCACGCGAGGAAAGGCGGTTACTTATGGAAAAGGTCTCCATAGCAGCATCCTCTAACTGGTCCCACATCGATCCTTTGTCCCTTCCTGCCAATTTGTGAGCAGGAAGGGCCATGGTAGCAAGGAAGGGAAGAAAGGAAGACAGAAAGCAGAGGCTAGTGGTTAAGACGGAAATCGAGCTCTTCTCTAGTTCTCACCCACTGCTCTCCCCAGACCCAGAAGCTGCCTGCTCCAGATACAAACATTCCCTTGGACATCAGCACCAAGAGTGGCAGCGCCAGGCAGCTTGCAGGTCAGCGCTGCCTGGCACCTGGCGGAGCGCGGCCTCCTTCCAGGACAAGGCGTCCCTGGTGTGTCTCTCACCTAGGAGTCCCTCGTAGAGATAGACTCGCTGGCTTACGTCTTCAGAAGCGCGAATCGGGCTGCTCACCAGCCGGTCCTTGATGCTCGGCTTCAAGCTATGGGCTTTACCCTACAGAGAAGCGACAGGTCAGCCACCCAGGTGCCTGCAGGGAGGCAAAAGAAACCAAGCCACCTGCCCACCGCCTGCACCCCAGGAGCGCAGCTTGCTTCTGGGTTAGACCAGAAGCCGAGCTGCTAAGTCCTGCTTTCTTCTACTGCTTGCTTAGTATCAGTCAAGTGTCCACTTGGAC